GAAGCCACAAATGAAGGCAGAACAAAGAATGAAAATGCAAAATAATAAAAAAAAAAAAAATGGAGAAAATACCCATGGAGGAGTATTCACAACCTTCCTGCAAGCAAATTAAAAAGTGTTGCCCCCTCTCTCTCTCTACGGGCACAAAAGGGTTAAATGGCTTAAATGTTGGGGCAGGGTGCGCGTCCAATTGGTGGGCGTGGCATGGCCAATAAAACCACGTGAGTAATGTGCCAAATGGCGGCACCAGCAAGCGTTCGCGTTGCAGGTCATAAATTGATTGAACCCGCGGAACCTGCAGAGGCGCAGGCGGACGAAAATTGATACACACAAAAGAAAAGCGTGCAGAAAAGTCAAACTATTTGGTGTAGTCGAAGCTAGTGGATACCCAGCAGGCACATTTTGTTGAGGGATTTGCATTCGGAATTAAGGACAAGTTTGCAAAAAGTGCGCAAAACTAAGACAACGAAAAAATATTCATGCAAAAAGATAGAAAAAGACAACAATTGCAACGTGACACATGCCACAGGGCAGTGGCAGGGCAGCAACACTTTATGCCTGATGCCACACTCCAACGAGCAACAGAACCCTGAAGAACTGCAACCACAAGCATGGGTCTGACAGAGAGAGAGCGTGAGACAGAGCGAGTGGGAAGAGCAGAGCCCACGTGGCGTATGAGTGACGTGAATTTATGTAATCTGTCCCACAGGCGGAGAAAGAGGCGGAAGCAGGAGACAGGAGGAAGGGGGACGGGGCACGGGACTCTTGCCACAGGGGTATTGCTTAACCTGCCACGTTCTAATCAGTGAATGCAACTGCAACAAAGTTGTTGCCATGGGGAGAGGCAGCCGGGAGGGGGCAGAGTGGCTAGAGGAAAACCAGTTTCCATTACATTTGTAGTTCACCTTCAGCGTCCTTTAAGCCAGTTACTGCAGAACAGCAGGGGAAAGGGGGGAAAGAAAAGAGGGAACGCCTGGACTGGACTGCCAGTGGGCACATCAACCCAACCAGCCAATGTTGCATGCCACACACACACACAAACATAGTAGAAACAACAAACCAAAGAACAACCGACAAACCGACAAGCGGAGAGGCATGGCACCAAAGAGAACAGAGAGAGAGAGAGAGAGAGAGAGAGAGGACGCAAAACAAGAGTGAGAACAACAGCAGAACAGCAAACAAGTGCTGTGGAATGCCACCGATTGCCCACAAATTGAAATGCTAGACTTACATGAACCTTTGGGATACCCTGTAAAAGAATTAGCACAGGGCATAGAAAAGATTTAGGGGGGAAAACAAACTCAAACTAAAAATTAAAGACATTTTCATTTACTCAAATTTCATTCACTGATATCAATTTTCTTTACTTTTTTCTATAAAATTTTTTATTTAAAATGGGTTTTTTTGGTTGGTATTTGATCACAAAAAATACTAAACTTTACTGGGAATCATAAAGAATTAAATCCACTGCTATTTCCTACTTTTTTTTCATTATTAATTATGCATTTTACTTCATTTTTGGCTACCAGTAACCCTAAATAAATTAAGTTCTTTAAGTTTCTCTCCTTTTTTTTTAGAACTTTCTATCTTCTTGAATGAATCAGCATACCCCATAAAATGGCCTTTACCCTGTAAATCACAAATCAGCAAATGCATTGGCCAAATGCTTGGCATGCTCCTAACTGCTGGCCCGCTGGCCTGCTGGCTGCCACACAGCTTGGAGAACTCACAATTTCCATGGAGTAAGAGGATAAATTTAGAGACTGTCAGGAAAGAGGTGGGCAAGGGGTAGCCAGGGGGGGGGGGAGCCTCTGGCAGGAAGAGGGTAGATCGCAAAACAACAAAAAAAAGGTGGTTTAAGGGGTACCAATGCAGGCGGTACGCAGCTGTGTCTGTGTGTGTGTGTGTGTGTGTGTGTGTGTGTGTGTGTCTACTGCTATGTGCACTATGTGGGTAAACCAGTTGGAGTGGCAGGCTGCTGCGGGCGACTCTCATTCCGCCTTGATTTCAATTCCAAATCGGCGACAAACACTTCACGGAAAGCGTAAGAGTTGGAGCAAGAAAGAGATGGCTATGGGAGGGAGTGAGAGTGGGAGAGTGGGAGAGAGAGGAAGGAGCGCTCTGGCTGCAATTACAATTCAATTAATGCGCTTATGTGCCATTCTTCTTGATTCATTCTTTTGGGCCTCTTATTCATCCCCTCATCATGATTCTGCTGCTCTCCTCCCACTCCCACTCCCACTTGTCCTTCTTCTTTACTCCACTTGTTCGCCTCTTCTGCCACACTGCTCACTCGTTCTCTTTCACAGTGTAGTAAACACATGATAAGAATGAGAAGAGGAAAGAGCAGTCAAGAAGGCGGAGAAGTAGGAGGCCGTCTCCGTCACCGTCTGAGTCCAAGAACTTGGAAATTTAATCGTCGTCGCAAAAGTTAAACGACCGCGCAAGTTGCTTAAGACATTCACTGGAGAGAGGCAGATACAGAGAGAGAGAATGGGAAAGAGGGAAATAATGGGTGTAAGCAGAGAGTAATGGGCATAGAGGGGTAGGGGGTAGGGTGGTAGGGGGGTGGTGGATTACAGGGCACACACATGGAGAAGCGTCTTTCAATGGACGTTTGGTAGGGCTTTGCAGGAGGAATACGAATAGGAGTAGCAGCAGCAGCAGCAGCAGCAATAGGAGCATGCAAGTAGGCAAGTCGGCAAGTAGGCGGTGTGTGGCATGCCACATAATCAGCTCATGTGTGAGCGGCGGCAGCGTTGCCACCTCAAGAGTTTTAGCCAAGGGAAAAAACCACTTCCTACACTACCATTTCCCTCTGCCTGCCTGCCTGCCTGCCTGCCTGCCTCGCCTCTAACTTGCATCCTTATGGCTGGCTGCCATTTGCCATGGGTGTTGTTTTTCAGCTTGTTAGGGGGGTGCTGCTGCTGCTGCTGCGAGTGGGGGGTTTGCACAATCAACGGTTTTAAATTGCATTTTATTTAATTAAGAAGAAAACACACACACACACACACACATAAAAGATAGAGAACTTTTACAGGGAAATAAAGAGAGAGCATAGAGCAGGTTTCACAGCGAAATGGAGACAGAGAATGAGAGTAAAGCGGGGGTGTTTCCCCCCTTTCGTTTTTGTATATTCTTGCAAAAACTTTCTGTATTTTTTTTTTCGTATATTTTCTTTACATTTTTCCCTCGAATATAACAAGCAAAGTTCGTTCCTTCCACACGGTTCAAAAGCCAAAGGTTGAATGTCGGCCACGGCAAAGAGAGGAAAGGAAAAGCTTCTCCGCGAAGATTTGTTTTGTGGGATCATTGCATTTGCTTTTGTTTGCGGGCGGGGGCGGCGGCGGCGGCAAACAACTTGAGCAAAGCTTAAGAAAAACTTCGAGAATTGTTAACGATTAACACAGGTGCGGAGGATGAGGAATACCTGAGCGGGCAAATCGCTAAAGGGCAAGTTTTACAATTGAACAAAACTCTAGCACTGAAACCAATGAAAAAAGTTCAAAAGGAAACCAATGAGCATTGAAATGAATACAAATTCTTAATGAATAGTCTCTCAATCTATGTCAACGGAATCAAGGGGAACATTCGAACATTAAAATAACAATTTTTTGACTACGATATTCATCTTTATCTTTATGTTGACCCGTTTCCATTTTTTCCTTAGTTCAGCTACATTTTCTTTGCCGTTCTCTAAATTTCTGTTCCTTTCTGTTAAATTAAAATATATTAATTGATTCTTAATCAAAATCTCACTCACTTCTTTCCTTTGTTTCTATATCTCCACTTTCTGTGTCTCATTCTCTTTATCCGTTTCTGCTAAAGTTTCTCTAAAATATTTCTTATTCGTTTGTTTTCATTCTTTTCCACAAATTCTCCCATATATATTTATCCAACTTTGGCTTTCTGCCTTTCATTTTCTTTATTTTTTTTCTCTCCAAACTTTGGCACTTTATATTTTTGAGTGAAAATATTCCTCTAATTAGCAAAATCAACAACAACAAAAAACCATTTGTCAATTTCACCCACAAAGAGAAATGACAAAGTTTTCTTTACCAAAAAAAAAGAACAAATTGTATTATGTACAACAAACAGAAAAAAAAACAAAACATTGGAGTGTGCCATTAGCATAGGTCCCTTGGCCTCCCTTTCTCTCTCTCTCTCTTCATCTGTCTCTCCAGCTCTCTCAAAGGTCGCATTAGACATAGACGACTCCCCGAGCTACTGGAAAAGTTCTATAAAATAAAACTAATAATAATTATCAACGCCATTGTCGGGCCATCAAAATGAACATAGAAACCAGAAACCAGCGAGACACAAACACAAACAAAATAAAGCCAAAGAGAGACAATGACAAAGAGAGCGAGAGAGCGAGAGAGACAAACAGATATAGTGGGCGTCCGGAAAAACTTTTCCTGTTGTTGGTGTTTTTGGCGGCGCTCTGGAAAAACAACAGGAACACCATTTTCTAGTTGTTTTTGATGTCCTGCCACCGCCGCTGACTCTCCGAAAAACTGAGAGCATTTGACATTGCCAAGGATGTCGCATGCCACACAGAGGCTGTCGTCCCGCCCTGCCTCTTGCTGTGCCGTTGCCACCGATGATGGCTTCGGTCTGGCGGTCGTCAAGCATTTGCCATCATCATTGTCATTGTCTACTCTCCACTGGCAGCATACAAACAGCAGTGGCAGCCGTGGCACAGGCCATGTCTGTTGCCACAAGAAGCACAAGAGGCACAGCCAGGACAATAAAATGTCATAATGAAAGTTTTTTCAATGCCAGAGAAAAAGAGAGAGAGAGAGAGAGCATTTTAGGCGAGCTATAAATGGGGCACATTAATGGGTTTGTTGACTGCCGCACGGCTGTCTGTTGGTTATGGCCAGATACTGTCATATGGTTCTCAGTGGTTCCCTGGCATGTTCTCTGTCATGTTCTCTGGCATGTTCTCTGTTATGTTTTGTCCTTGACAATGGGGGGATTTGAATGTAAAGGCTTACCAGAAGTGGGGTGTGGAGTGCTGCTCGTTGAAGGAGGGCTTGACTTTGACCAAAAGCGGAACTTACCTGTAAGAAGAAAATTAGGGAAATTAATTATTTGCAATGGAATAAAATGGGGTAGTTAAGAATAAAGGTTACTTATGGATGAGGTTCCAAAAAACAAACTCATCAGAAATCAGCTTCAAAGAGCTACGAAAAAGCCAACTGGGGCGACTATATTTTCCACTTTATATGCCACAAGTTTCCAACAGAAGTTCCCTTAGTTATGACAGCGGGCAATCACAGCCCATAGTTTTCCCAATGCCATTTCCCCCCGTGTGAATCATGAGACAGGCGGGGGGGGGGGCAGGTACACTCAACCAATCATATGAGGAGCCGTACGAAGGAGTATTATTGCAATTTGCAGTTATTAATCACACGATACAGCGCCTCGCACTCCCCCGCCCCACTCTCTCCATTGCACTCATCAAATATGCAAAAGCAGTTGCAACAACTGGCATGGTGTGGGCCATAAGTCCCCGAAAAGTGGCAGAGATTTACGACCTACTTCCATATGCATGACAGCTGCAAAACGCTGCTGCCTGCCTGCCCCTGCCTGCCTGCTGCCTGCCTGCCTGCCTGCCTGCCAGCAAAGTGAGTGACTAACTAACTGAAGAGAACTGCAATTGAAACAGAAACAGAACCAAAGTCAGCCAGAGTCAGAGTAGCGGAGGGACATATGCAAATGTCTGGCAGGTTACCTTCTTCGACTGACTGCAGCCAGAGACGAGACTCCTTTTTGGTGGAGTACTGGGGAGATCCTTTTGGAGCTGTGGATTGCAATTTGCATTACTCATTTGACACTCGGTCTGTGTGTCTGTGGCATCGGCAGACAGACAGCATTGCAACACCTGCTGGCAAAAGAGCCCAAAGAAAATGAAACAACAAAAAAAAAACACAAGAAACCAAAAGCTGAAAAAGAAAAACCCAAAGCTGAAGACAGAACAACACACAGCCAAGACATTGATGAACGACAAAGGGGCGCATAAAATGTATAATCCTTGAGTGCCAGGGCATACAACATGCAGCATGAAGCATGCAACATGCATGCATGCATCGCAGAGAGGAAGCTGAAGCTATCTCTGATATATGTATGTACGTGTAAATCTGTTGAGTGCAACTTTTGCCTGTCATCCGCAAACATGAAACCACTAATTGATGCACGAAGGAAGCACCAGAAAACAGCAGCAGAAAACACCAGAGACACCAGAAACACCAGAAGAGACGCCAAGACAGCTTCTTCGAGACTCTCTCTAGTGGCTGTCTGCTGGCTGAATTGGAGATGAAGGTTAGATGAGGCAAGCGAAGTGCTGCAGTGTTGCAGTTGCTGCCAGTGCTAGTCGTGTGTGTTGCATGACTAAACTTTTGGGTTTCTTTTTCAATATTAATTAACAGACAGCGGAAACAAAAGAAACATAGACTTTTTTGATGCAAGTTGCTGTGGCAGATAGTTCGCAGACAGTTTGCAGTTACAGACCCTGACTGTTTTTTTTTTTATGCTTTCAAAAAGGCTTTCCGAACAAAGAACTGTTGACAGTGGTTGACCTTGACACAAATTGAAGGAGATACAGGAAACGGAAGGCAAGGATTATTAAAGAAAAACACCTGATAATGCATTGCGTGGAAAGGTAAAAGAAGAGAAAAGTAAAAAAAAAAAAACAAAAACCCCTTTTTAGTTTAGATTTTTGTTTTAATTGCTTTTTCTTTGTACTTTTTTTTCTTTATTTAATTAAGTCTTTTTGATTTTATAACATAAAAAATAAAATTGTTGTATCCTTTTTTAATTTGATTTTTTGTTTGTTTTTATTTCCTTTATTTTCGTTCTCATTGACAACAAGAACAGCATTTATTGTTCTGTTGTGTGGGCTCTCCCACATCATACGTTGGTGGCAAGAGGGGAGGTGCAGGTTCCTCGCACTTCTTGGACTCGCAGACATCAGTAACTAAATTGGGAACCTTGAAATTTCGCATATTCCACGCAAGATATTTACACAGTAAGCTGCATGCCAATAAAATAATGATAGTGCAGCCAGAGAGCAATAAAAATATGGGAACCTTCCACCAGGCATCTTCCTTTGGGGCAGAATCTCTTCTATGAACGGTATTGAGATCATTGTACCCAGGGGATGTAAATCCCATGCGGCACTTGGTGCAAATATCATTAAACCAATTCATATTTTTTGTATTTGCTGCTGTGTTATTTGCTATTGGAAAATCTGATATTTTATGGGCAAACTTTTGACAAGAAACGAAAAATATATCTGTATGCCAGTATGCATGGGAATCGTTTGGATCCTTGTTTGATATTTATTAAGACCATTTTAAACTTGTCCTAAACGATTTCTTTCCTTTTTTACTTTGGATTATTTTCCTTTAATTTTCCTCAAGCTGCACACGAAAAAAACTGTGTCAGTGTGTCTCCCTCATTGCTACAGTGCCACAATCGACCGACAATCCGTAAACCCATCACCCTCCAGTACCCAATGTAGCCACCTTTATTCTCTCTCTTTCTGCCCTTTCCATTAGCCTTCTTTCTTCATGGCAATCATAATTGGTTGGACAATTTGCCTTTGGGCAAACATTTACAACAATTTGCATGTCGAAGCGGCTCCTCGTTTTCCTTTCTTCCCTCTGTCCCCCCCTTCCCTGTTCAGGCCACCACTCTCGATATTTTTTAATTGAATAAAGTGCACTTTGAACCCAAGCAGCAGCCGCCTTCAGGGGCCCTCTGATGGGGCCCGCCCCTCCGCCCAACTTGTGACACTTTTCATTGTGAAAATGTCCTGCAAAAAGGAGCACAACGATAAGGGCGGGCTACAGCAAGCCAGAAAGGGAGAGGGAAAGATAGAGCGGGCAGGGGCTGGGGACAAAGGTCGAGAGCAGCACCAAATGAGGCATGAGAAAGGCGACAGAAATCGTGCGACAAGCAATTTTTTTTTTTGCTGGTCATAAAAGTGCGCCAATAACCCACTGCACTTTGCAGCACATACACCCTGCCACACTCCCTCTCTCTCTCTCCACACTGAGGGCGAAAGAGGCCTACTCTACTTACGTACAACACACATACAAAATGAGGGGGGTGCAGGATATGGCTGGAGCGGAGCAACAGCAGATTGAGTTGTGTGGAAGCCACTCGAGTGAATGCCCCCTGAAACCCCCAACCCCATATATCCATTAATTTTTGTTAATTTATTGCCTTGCGATAGCCCCAAAGATGGGCCAAAGAGGGGGAGCAGGAGACAGGGAGAGAGTGATAGCCAAAGGAAAGTGTACGATGGATAGTGGAGAGATGGTAGGTAGGAGGCAGGAGGCATGGTAGCCATTGCACGTCGCAAGTGCCAATGCTTAAAACTTTTTGCTACGTGACTCGACAAGTGGCCAATACGAAGGAGATGATGGCCAAAAGAAGGGAGGTAGGCAAGGGGAGCAGCAGCAGCAGCAGCAGCGTGAAGACGTAAGCACCACAGAGATAGAGAGAGAGAGAGAGAGAGAGAGAGAGAGAGAGAGAGAAAATTCGAGGAGCCCAATACGTGACTCAAATATGCACGCACGCACACCAACAATGCACTGAGAGAAAAACCTTAATTAACTACAATGTAATCACAAATGTATGATATTTTTTTTATATTCAGCCACCAGGCCAGAGGAAGAGTATAAGAAAGTAACTATGAGTGGAAAATCAACATAAGATCTCTCCAAAACTGCGTGGCAGTAGCTCTGTCTACACCCAAATAACTCCTCTTCTACTCTTCGTGGAGCACAAGTACTTCCTCAATAGGAAATTCTCACACTCAAATTGCCACTGCCTTCCCACTGTAACAACGTGGAGCCTGATCGATCATGTCGTAATTTTTGTGCTACTGAGAGAGAGAGAACAGTCGAAAGAAGAGGAGAGGGAATGGACAGAGTTCTTATTGCAAAGTTCGGAAAACAACAACAGCAGCCAGCCACACACAGAAATGCAAGAGTCGGCGGAGCAGCTCGCTCCAAATCAGCCGAGTGTGGGTGACGAGCGAGAGAGATCAATGGAACGAAGCAAATGCGAGAGTGCGCAGTTATTGCGTGCAAGCAGCAATGCTCGGCTCTCAGTTGAAATCAAGATCAAGCAGATAAGACAAATGCGACTGCGCGGCGCACCAGACGAAAAAAAATACACACAGAATAAATAGTAAATAATGAAAGAACAGAAGCCGACAATCAGGCTGCACATCTCTGGAAAACATTTATTAATCTTCTTTATATTAAATAATATTTAACCTTGGTGCATTCCTCTTCTAATTTTCTTTCAGTGTAAACCTTCTTGGGCAGTCTGTTGCCATCAACAACGTCGCTTCTTGTATTTACTTCTCTTCTTTTACTTTTTTTTTTGGGGGTGGGAGGCGTGGCTGCCTAATTTCTTTCCCGCAGAATCTTACACCCACACTTGGACACGAAGACACAGATACGAGTAGAGGCACACACAGATACACACATATGCATAAAAATCAGGTCATGTTCGCTGCTCAAAGTAATGGAATTTGTAATGCGTTCATTCTTCCATCCCACCAAAATCCCATCCCATCCTTCTGCCTGCTGCCACCGCCTGACACTTGCTCTTCCTACCTCCCTCCCTCCCGCTCACTCATTTGCCACGGGAATGTCGTTTTGTGTGCTCGTCTCTGTCTTAGGTTTTCGCCTGCCCTCCTCCTCCTCCTCCTGGTGTGTGGCATGCCCCCACCAGCAAACCTGCGCGCAGCACTCTGCCCCGTTTTTAGTGCTCTTCCTTGCCTTTATTTTGCGTGTGCCCCGTCTCTGCAAATTAACTTCTTCTACGACTTTGCCCAGCAAAAAGGGGGGAAATGGATGTGGCATGGTGGCATGGTGGCATGGCTGCATGGTGGCATGGTGTCATGATGGTTGGGGCATCTCCTGTCGAATGCGCTCAAGTGGCATGGAGAGTGGAAACTTCAGTAGCTACGCTTGTTTCCCATTATTAACAATCTTTGTTGCCATTTTGTGTGTGCGCCCCGCGAGTCGTTCCATCCCAA